AAAAAAAAAAAAAAAAAAAAAAAAAAAAAAAAAAAAAAAAAAAAAAAAAAAAAAAACTAATATTATTTTGAACGACTAAATTTTTCTATAAGCATAAACCAATAATTCTAATGGCTATCAAACGTAGGAATTACAAGTTGAAAAAAATTATTTTCAGACGCCATACTTTGATTATCATTCCGTTCATTTTTTCCATTCTTAAGAAATTGTGGTTTCTTTTGAATTTCTTTTGTTTCACAACCATGCCTCGTGAAAAAATATACCAAATTTTGTGAACTCTAAACATAAATTAATTCAAAAGAGATGTTTTAACTCAATTGCATTTGGCTTTTATAGGTCTTAAAAAGAGATTAAAAAAAAGAGTAAAGTTAAATTTAGCGGTCATAAAAACTCCCAACCTAACACTCCCAACCAAAGTTAGAGTGATCATGAATGCAACCAAAAATAAAAGTATAAGAGACAAATATTTATATTAAAAGTATATGTATATGTTATAAAAAATGACTGCATAGAGGGGTGTATTAACCCGTCTAACTTTGAATTAGAATATCATGGATTTGATTCTCGGGTCGATTAAAACTTATTTCACACTACAAGAAATAGTGTATAAGATAGCTTACGAAAAATGCTATTATAGACTTTTTATAGCGTTTTTCGTACGTCGTGACAGTCCATGTTATTAAAAGTGAGACTTATAATAGAGTAAGAAACTATGACATATATATGTTGTTATAAAAACATTTTATAACATTTTATTAAAGCTATAATAAGTTTAACTAAAAAATTGTGCTATTTTTAACCTATAATAACATTTTGTTAATGCTATAATATAGTATTTTTAACTTCAGATTGCACATTTGATAACACTTACATTTCGTTATATATAAAACTTATTATATATACTATCGACTAAACTTAAAGTTGACGTATATGGAATGATACTTCATAACATATTAGGTATAAAAGATTTCCATTCATAATTGAAATTTCACAATCTATTTACAAAGTTATTGAAGGATAAAAGTATTTGTTGTATCTAATTACAAAAAAACATAAATGGTTGAATCTCCAACAACTACATCTAGTGTTGTAATCCACAAGAACAACTTCCCATTGTTTGCTAATCTCCAATCAAACTTGTACTTTTCATTCCCGAGAGAGATTTTTCATAACATCTCCAACAATGTACCACCTTACAGACAAGACATCTATAATTGAGTTAATTAAAATGACAATATCATGTAGTATATGGACAAGCAACTTATATAAAAATAGATCTACTCCAAACTAAGAATGAGGTGACCAAAATTTGATAAAAGCATGTGGATGGACATGTGCCTTTTAGATTTAGGAGGAGGATTAAAGCAAAATCCAACTCTAACATAGAATCCAAAAGAGAGAATTGATTATCGAAGCTTTTGGTCCGTACAAATTTACTTCTAATATATTAAATCAAACATTTAACAAATTACACATGCATATATTGTATATTTTTAATGTTTATATATGAATGGATTCTCATTGCATTCTCAATCATATTGGCATTAGATATAGCCAATGCCATACAAATCCCATTTCCACAGCCTGCATATCTTCTCCAAGCAAGAGTTTAGAAAATCTTTCCTTCAACATCTCAATCTATATAATCCCCACACACCATTAAAATATAAATACAATTTATATGGACAAACCCACAAAGAAAAGAGGGCCAAAATTACCTGACGATGAAGATACTTTCTTCTTCAACTTCCTATTAACATAGTGTTTTTCTTCTTTATCAGCAACATTAGGTTAATACAATCGGGTCCGTTAGCCTTTCGAGTGAACCAACTCAATGAAGAAAGGAAGATAGTCCTCAGAGCCACTATGACTGTGCTCCTAAAGCCCTATGGTCTCCAATGTAAGAAAATCAGAGCTTGAGCTAATCTCGCGTCCTTGTTCTTCAATCAAATGGTCAAACGTCTCATTTTCAGGCACAATGTGACCAATTCCTTTGCTTTTCAACCGCACTCTCCTCCATGACAATTTTCCCTCCTCAATCACAACCCTAGCACAAAATCAAAGCAACCCAATTAGACTCCACCCACTAGAAGCCTTATCAATCCAAACTCTTCTGCAAATCAAGCACAAAACATAATTTTTGGACAGAGATTTCAACATCCAGAAAGCCAAATCAAAGAATATGGGGTTCGAAATGATTTAAGGCCACTATTATTAAAGCTAAAAGATAGAGAAAGATAGCCATAAAAAAAATTCAAAGAAAAAGAAGAAATAGGTCGGAGTATGAAAAAATTGGAATTAAAAAAAAAACACTCGTTCATCTCACCATTGCCTTCGAACTCAAAAAGCTACAAATGCTCCTCCCCACAGAGAGCGACAAATCATATTTGAAGATTACGAAGAAATTAGGGTTTAGAAATTTTGGATCGAGAGAAGAAGAAACATAACAGAAGTGAGAATAAAAAGGGGCTGGAGAGAATAAAGGTAGGAGCAAAATAAAAAATGAATGATAAATAATAATAAAAAAAAAAACGTCCCTAAATCAAACTTTGTTGGGTCCACTTGTTTTTTTGAAGGCCTTCTATAGCATGATTTGAAAAATGCTATAACGAAAAGCTACCGTTTCTTGTAGTGTCACTATCTAATTTGCTTCTATTGAAAGGGTCCAAATTTATTTTTCCAAGTTGTATACTTATCACTGGTTAACTTTTTAGTGGCCAATACTAAGAATAAGAATAAAGAGCTTGAAATATTACGCCTAATACTATGCCATCAATTCTAGAATAAAAAAAAAATTATGGTTTTGAAATTCTAATTTTATCTCACTCTTTCTCTTCCCCTATAGTTTTTATAAGATTATAAAACTTTTGAATCATTTAATGTTGGGAGTCTAACACATTGAAGGTCTTTGGTTTATGTTCCAATTGAAAAAAATAACTAAGCATATAAGAGATTAAGACTTCTGTTGAACACACCCATTGTCCAATTTACTATTTTTGGCAAGAAATTTTTGAAACTTCTTTGATAATATGCTTCTAATGATGTTAGTGAAATCACGTTCTTGCCCTATGCTACTCCATTTTGTTGAGAAATGTAGACTATAGCGAGTTGTGCTTATAACAATGTTTGTGATTATCCCGTTCTTGCTCTAAGCTACTCCCTTTTGTTGAAAAATGTAGACGGCAGCGAGTTGTGCTTATAAAGATGTTTGTGATGGTCTTATCCTTGCCCTAAGCTAGTCCATACTTGATAATTGAAAAAATAACAAAAAGGTAAGAAAAGCTTCTTCAATATGTTGAGATTTACACCACATCAAGCCCTTTCACTACAAAGGTAAGATTTCTGTTGAACACATGTGGTGTCCAATTTACTGCTTCTTGCAAAATCTTTTTTGAAACGTATTTCTTTGGTAATATGCTTAGAATGATGTTTATGATTGTTTTGTTCTTGCTCTAAATTACTCCATTTTGTTGAGAAGTGTAGACTGCAGCAGAGTTGCCTGATAATATAATATTTTTGCAAAAAATTTACTTCTTCTAACAAGAAATTCTTTGAAACTTACTTCTATGATAATATGCTTATAACGATGCTCGTGATTGTCCTGTTCTTGCCATTAAGGTACTCCATTGAAGCACTTCTTTGATAATATGCTTAATGATTGTCTTGTTCTTGCCTTAAACTACTCAATTTTGTTGAGAAGTGTAGACTCCAACAGGTTGATTGCTAATATAATAGTTCTACAAAAAAAATATTAAATTTGTGAGAGGTGAATTCAATATCGTATCTGTGCGTAAACAACTAATATAATCTCTAGCTTCTTTCTCAATTTTTTTTTTATAATTCTGAAAAATGGTGAATGCTTCAGATTTTCTGTGAGAAAATATATCCACACCTTATAGTTCTAATCATAAATACAACTTATGAAATATTTATTTTTACTATTGGCAAGAGGTTTGATGGCTTTACACATGTCAACATGTATCAGCTGCCGTCTTTGTGATGTTCTCCATAAACTTTTAAAAATGCATTCCTAGGTTGCTTTTCACCTTGCAATCATTGCATAGTTGGGATGATCCGTACCTCCATGGTAGCCTTCTCACCATTTGTTTATGTTACAATGTTCTTAAACCCTTGAAACATATATGCCTATATCTGCCATGCTAAAGGTGAGTATTGTATTCAAGAATTTCTTTGAATTAAGGGGTGGGTTTTAGGCGTGATTCTTGCAAGTAATATGAATATTTTGTTTGTTGATATGGTTAGTTTGCCTATTATGCTCCTCTTTGGGATGGTAGATTCTACCTACATCATGTTGCACCTCTACCTTGCAACTGTCCAATACTTAATCGGTAGGTAAAAAGCATTAATCATTACTTGAGTGACTCCAACAATTTGCAACCAAATGTTACCTTTTCCCAACACCGCCATCATGAAATTATTCTCAAACTTTGTAAACGGATGAAATTTCTCATCAAGATCTAAGAACAACTACTTCTTTGCAAACATAAGATTGCTACACCAGGAGTCAAGGAACTAAACATCTTTTCTCCTTGATTGTTTAATCTCTACATATACATCAACAACATTTCTTCTTTCTCCTTAAGTGCAACATAGTTCGCTTCCTTCTCCCATTGAGAAAACTCATATCTTAAATGTTCTAACCGATGATATATAGCACTCAACGATAGCTTTCTTGAATACTTGTCTACCTCTTTCTCAAAAAACTTCACGAGTTTGATCACCTCTTCTTCTACTAATTCTATTATTATATGTCACCTTTAATGCTTGTTTGTCATGTCCATTCATCTTTGATTATTTATTTGAATTGTAAATTTTAATTAAATATTTAAAAATAAATTGTAGATAGTTTGACAAATTAATCAAGGATTTACTTTGGAAGGATCAATTCTACTAAAGGCTCATAATTTTTAAGTTTATCGGGTTTAAGGTCAAAATTTTCACCAAATAGTCCCTTTCTTCGTCAGCTCGTTCTTGATCTTAATAGGATTTGATTCCTTCATGAAAGATGTTCATTTAAGTACCTCGGAGGTAAAGGAAATGTTAATTTTAGAAAAAATGGAGTGGAGAGAAACAAATTTCTTTCAATTGGGCATGCTCGTGATCTCGATGGCATTTCGAGGTCTTTTACATAAATACTATTTGAAGGTAAAAAAATTGAATGGGATAGGTAAAACACGATGAATTTGTTTATAACCTCATATTGCAATTCCAAGCTTTTTTTTAAGCTTCTTTAATTGTGGGCGTATTGGCCTATAGATTTGAGGCACTTTCAATACACTATTCCTTCGCTAAATTTATGGGCTATCTTTACTTAAAATGTGTAGGAACAAGTTGGAAGGAAAATAATTATAACCCTTGAATTTAAAAAAATCGAGGAACAAAATAATTATAAGTCTTGTTGGAGGCTTGTCGTTGCTTGGTTCTTTTTCCAAACGGTAGCCCATGCTTTATAATTGCATTGAGCTTAAACCCACTTTGAAACGTTATCATAAATTTGAATTCAAGATTTTAGGAATTTTTGTCTGTAATATCTTCTCGCTTTCGTTAACTTCTATTTTGAATATCAGCAGTTGGATTTACTGAATTGTGTGTGGGTCGTGTGTCATATGAAATCTATTGATATTGGATGTAAGATATTTAAGATTTTCAAACGTTCTCGTTCAAGTGCTGATCTGACTTATGGAACTCTTGTTTGACTAACTTGTCTTTCTCCACCTTTTTCATTTATTGCCTTTGCATATCTAATAAGGTGGCAGCCTTAAGCGTGGTGGCGTAATTGCTTGCGATATGGGCCGTCATTGACCCTTGGATATCTTCTCTTAAGCCTAAAACGAAGTGGAGAGTTTTTGTCTTCTCCGTATCTACAATCTTGTGGGCAAATCTGGATTGTTTAGTCAATTCTACATCATATTTCTTCTTGGCCCTTTTCCCTTGTTTAAAGCTTCAGAATGCCTCGACTTTTGAACAGGGTAGTAATTTCTCGACAATAGCCTCGACTTTTGAACAGGGTAGTAATTTCTCAACGATAGCCTCTCTAAGCTGAGTATAAGGAATAATTCAATCTTCAACGTTTACGATCTTAGAAATTGATTTCTACCACAAATGTTCCACTCCGGAGTGAACGTGATGGTGGGGTGTCTAGGGGGCTTGGTTTGACTTAAGTTAGGTCCTTGTGTTTTTGTTTAATTGCTTTAGACTGGGCTTGGACCATCTCCACTTTAGTGGTTGTTTTTGTTGAGTTCTCGGAAGCCAACCTATGGCTTTTTCCCCTAGTTGGGTTCCTTCTCTTGAGTGACATAATTTAGTTCTAGAAGAGTACTTTAGGTTATCTTAAATTTTAAGTAGTAACCTTATACTCATGCACCCAATAACTAAAAACCTTAGGTATACTTAAATTTGGAGTCTTAGAGGGGTACTTACTTTGCCAAAAGCTGGGCATAGAAAAACCTTGGGCTCTAATACCCCTTCTATCACAACTCGATTTGAGTTTGCAAGAAACACATATCAAGACTTGGGTTGACTCGATGAGTATAAAAAGGGATCAAAGATAAGTTGCTCCAACCTGAGTGAAGTTTCTGATGGAATGCGGTTTTTAGAGTCTCGCATGAACGAGTTTGTCACTAAAGCCGGCATGATTGGCGAATAGGTAGGGCGCCTTGAGGCAATGCCTGTCTACGAATTAATGGTTAGGGTTAAGGTCCTAGAAGATAAGGTCACAATTGTTGGTGGCCTCAAGCATTGAGATAGCTCAATGATCTCCTTTGTCGGGATGGAAAAACATATCAAGGGCCTAGGCAATGCCCAACAAGCGATTGTTCAAATACTCTCATAAATGTTTGGGAATTTAAGAGCACCTCTTGGAGTGGTCAGGACTGAAGTGTCGGTTCTCAGTGCCTGACTAAACCTCACCATGAGAGTGGTGGGGAACCAAACTTCATCCGAGTGTGCAATCCAATATAACAAAATATAGGTCTTAGAGCCCAAACCCTTCCGTGGGGTATGAGATACGAAGGCTCTAGAGAGTTTTATCTTTGACCTCCTACAGTACTTTCGAGTCATAACTATCATGGAAGAAGAAGCGAATGTCACATTTGCAACAATACATCTAGTTCTAGAGAGTTTTTGGGCTTAAGTTGGATATTTGTGACATGTTTGAAAAAGACAAGTTCTTCAATTCTGTTGAAGGGTTGAAGTTGTGGAAAAGACCCAACTCTTTGAACAAAGAGCTCAAAACCTTTTTATGGTCTATGCTATAGGAAAACGACTATTT